TTTTAAGGTGATGGGATCCAGAGAGTGGTGCTGTCGTTACTCTCCTTGTCTGCATTCTGGACTTCACCTAATCAAGAGCCCTGGTCCCTTGCAACAACAAGTTGTGAAGAGTGCTCTTCTCTGCCCTAGAACTACAACCCTACACTGGGTAATTAACAATGGAGCTGCCAAATATGTGAGACATGAGTAAAGGAGGAGCTAATGATAGAAAGCACCTGATTTATAGGAGATTAGGAAGAGAAGAAAAGAGGCACCTCAAACTGAATGACCTCATTCTGCACTCAGTGCTCACACAGGGGCCCCCTGTAATCTCTTTTTGACTGGTTATCCAATCCCTTTACCGTCTCTGAAGAGGGTTTTTGAAGCTACTGCTGCTGCAGCTACCTACAGGCCCACAGCTGGCTTTCCCCCCCCCTACAACTTTTGTTGCCAGTACTTTGTTCATCCAGTCAGCCCTCACCCCAATGTCACAGACCTCTCTTTTAGACCTCCTAAGTTGTCTTGGGTTGGAACAATGTCTCATTTAGACTTCTTGTTGGCTATGCCACTCCAAAATTTGATTTGATGAATTATTTGAGAGCTATTTGGAAGGGAATGACAGGAGAGTTTGGCTTGAATGTTCCCTCTACTCTGCCGTTTTGGCTCTACCCCTCCTATTGCATCTTCTGAAACATTAAAGAGTATGAATCTCTCTGTACTAAGTTATCTTTGCAAAAAGGAATCATGGACTTAGGTTGAAGAAAGATCTTCTTGATAGTGGCAATCACACATTAGTGAAATTTATTGGGCAATTTAAAATCTAAGCAGAAATCAAAATGTCTCATGTACATCATATGATTACCCAAATTATGAAACTTTACAACTCTCATACAGTGTATGGGGACACCTACTTTCTTTCTGGGCCAACTTACTCAATCCTGCTCTCTCACTAGGAAAACTAGCTTCCCAAAGGACTATCATCATAGTTATATTCAAATTCCCTCACATTCTTTGGAACAATGGAGTAATACACTCCTGTACTTATCACTTTCACTTTGGAGACCCTTACCCATGTTCACCAAAGCACCAATACATTTTCATTTTGACTAACTAGATCCTCAAGATGATGACAAATATAGATGTAAAACATAATCATTTACTTAACAATAAGGCAACAGAAATAATATCACATGTATTAAAGCAGATTCAGGAATAATAAAGACATCACAATTCACATATATGCCTATTTCATACTTTCTCACCAATATACTCAGTATCTGTGGGGAATACTTCACACACACAGATCTGAGGCAGAGAAATGTAAGTGAGGAAAACCAATGTGCATGGGGTAACTCACAACTCTGGACTGCAGATATAATTTTTCCCCCAGGGATAGTTATCCTTTGATGTATATAGTTTCTGTGTTGAATGACTGCTTCTGCTGCTACAATGAGTTTTGACTGTTTTGACTACCTAGCCAAATTAGTTGAGCTCTTGAGTGACCACAGCAAGAGAATTAATACAAAGCAGAATGATATTAGCAAGTTGGGAGAATTATGAAAGGCTTCACTTAGAAGGTGGTACTGGTGTTAAATTTTGAAAGAAGAGAGATTCTCTGAGGAGCAAAGTGAGGAGCAGATGCATTCTAGGCATGAAGATATAAATGAAGCATCATATATAATAAGCCCAGAGAATCCCAGTTTGGTTAGATTGCTGAGTGTGGGAAGAAGAGTAACTTCAAAAGGCGATTGAAAGGTAGATTGGGACTGTGTTGGGAAGGGTTTTAAAAGCTAAACAGAGGAGACTATGTTTTATCCTAGATGCAGTAGGGAATCATTGGAGTTGATTGAGTAGGTAAATGACATGGTCAAATCAAAGCACAGGAGGAAAATAAAAGTTTTGTCATCTGGGGGACTCTGAGAAGGCTGTAGGTATGTTCTAGGGTCAGGAGGCCTCAGGTCCTAAGGGAGATTTCAGGGTGAAAGTACAGATGAGGCATGGTATTGAACTTCGTAGAAGCACAGCTGGGAGGAGAATTCTGACACAAATAGGGACATCAAAAGGAGAGACAAGTATGAGGTGAAAGATGAGTTCAGTTTGAGGTATCAGTGGGGGTCATAAGCATAGAGATGATAGTTAATGATAAGGGAGTGAATGAGGTAGCCAATTGAGATAGTGTAAAGAAAGAAGGGAAGGTTAGATGGTACAGTGAATAGCATGCCAGACCTGGAGTTATGAGTACTCATCTTCATGAGTTCAAATCTGGCCTCAGATATTTACTAGCTATGTGACCCTGGGCAAGTCACTTAATCCTGTTTACCTCAGTTCGTCATCTGTAAAATGAGCTAGAAATGGAAACAGCACACCATGCTTTTGCCAAAAAAACTCCAAATGAGGTCACCAAGAGTCAAATACAACTGAAATCACTAAAAAAACAAAAAAGAGAAGAATGTCATAAATAGAATATTGCTGAACACTAACATTAAGCAACATTAAGCAGAAGAGCCATTGTAGAAGACAGAGAAAAAATGGTTAATGAGAAGAGAATCAACAGACTATCTGAAACCAAGTGAATGGAGTGCATCCAGAAAAAGAATTTGGTCAGTAGTTTCAAAAAGCTACAGAATGGTTAAGGGGAATCAAGACTGAGATAATATATTATGATTCTCATTTTGGAAATCAGGAAATTGAGACTCAGAAATTTGTTGACTTTGTTATGGTGATATATCTAATAAGTGGTGAAACTTGTATAAATAAATCAGGGTTTCTTATTTTTACTCCACCATTCTTCTACTATAGCATGCTACAATTTATGCCAAAGCACTTGATCTCAAAATACCCTGAACTGAAAATATTTTAAGTGTGTGTGTGTGTGTGTGTGTGTGTGTGTTTGGGCAGCTAGATGGCACAGTGGATAAAGTACTACCCCTGGAGTCAGGAGAACCTGAATTCAAATCTGGCCTCAGAAACTTACTAGCTGTGTGACCCTGGGCAAGTCACTTAACTCTGATTGCCCCCTACTCTACCAAAGCATTAAACTAGGTGAGAATACTTTGTTGATAGACTTAATAATATATGAAAAGGACAGGAGGTTAAGAAGGAAAGACTGGAGGTACTTGTAACAGCTGAACTGTTTACTCTCTGAATTTTTTCAAATCTATTTTTGTCCATTACCTACTTTGGGAGGCTTCAGAGTGTTTTAAGAACATCCTAAATGCTTGTAATTATGATTTGAATTCAAAAGAAAAATAGGCCATAGCTTCAGCATTAAGGCTTTTGTAATACCAACTGATTTAATGAAAAGAGGACTTTAAATTTAGAGGAGAAAACTTGGTCTCAGATTGTGGCTCTGGTAACTGTCTGCTGGTGTGCCTTTAAATAAGTCACTTAACCTCTCCATGCCTCAGTTTCCCAGTGTAAAAATGAAAGAGTTAGACTAAATAATATCTAAGATCCCTTATAGTTCTAAAGCCCATGATCTTCTAATACATAGTATCAACCTTTTATCCCATTTTGGAGATCAATGTCTACCTGTTCTCATAAACACTTACTCTAAGGGTCATCTTAGCATCTTACTCTTTTTGTTTAAAAATTTTGATTCCTCCAAATATTGCTTCAGCAAAAATTTATACAAGCACACTGATTATCTGATTAAAAAAAAAACTTCTTTACTCATATATTCTTCCCAGGATACAAGTGATTAGTCTTGTCACATACAGATAATCTCCATAAGCCACCTCCAGAATATTCCATTCTTTCTAGGGTTTTCTCACTGACTCTCCATTGCTTTTTTGAAAAATATAGTTATACACTTATATTCTTCATTCCCTTTTCTCATTTCCTACCTTATTCTGTCTTCCACATAATTTCTATATTTGCAACCACCATGCATATATAACAAAATTTTTATTATATATATATAAAACAACTTTTATTGTTACATAACAAAACAAAGCACTTACCGAATTTAGGACTTTGTCCTCAGAAACTGATAGGAACACCTTAGTTGGAATGAATAGCTGCCATTTTTCATATTCTCAAATAGAAGCTATACCCAAAATATGGAAGTGAAAGATAAACATAAGTTAATATAAATTTGTTTGTGTTATCATATTGAGATATTGCCATATTAGTAATGAGAATAATAGTAGCTAACATTTATACAACACCTTAAAGCTTGCAAAGTTATTATCTCATTTGATCTTATATTAGTTGCTCTTCACCTTTTTTATAGGTCCTCTATCATGGTTCACAGGTTGAGTCCTTAATAATAATAACGTTTTAATAGAGTCTAGTGATAAAACATTTAGTGTTTTGTGGGTCTATTTTTGTTTTTATATTTGCTGTTTCACATCTCAAGTGTTCAGATACTTTCCTAGCCCTAGATCATAGGTCCTCTGAATCTCCACCTGTGGAAATCTTTGTCTTCCTTTAAGGCTACACTCTGGTGCAATTAAGCTTTACCTGATTCTTGGCAGTCATAATAGTGCTCCTCAACTTGAACATGTTGTCTGATTATTTCCTTTCCTCCATCACATTTCTATATTGTAGTGGGTTTTTGGTAGTCTTTTTTTGCAAGTTTGCGTTAGATCTTAAGTCCTGTGCTGTCAGGGGCGATGTCATTTTTTTTATTTTTGCATCTGTAATGCATAGCACAGTACTTTGCAGGAGCAAGTTCCTTGCTTGATCAGTGTTCATTGAAGTGATTCATCTTTGAAATAAACCACCTTTATTAATCTGTTCTATATGTCTGACTTCAGTCAATTGTTTTAAATTTGCACTTGCAATTTACTATTTAGAATAATGAATATAGTTGAATGGAGTACTTGCCATAGTTCAAAGTATGATACCAGGTTATTGTCTGATAATTATACTACGGACAACTTAGGAACATACTTTTTGTTATATGGAGGTCAGTTCAATGTATTTTCTAACAGCTATATTACAGCAAATTGGATAAAATATTGCAGGGCATTATCTACCCTTCTCTGAAGTATGACTTATTTTTGTCATTATTTTAGGTACTTCTGTAGCGCTCATTATCCTTGCTTTGGGATTTTTGCTGTCAGCTCAGGTCTCACCACAAATCTCTCTTAAGCCAACAGCTCCTTCAGATCAGAACTCTTCTTGCACAAAATACAGGTGAGATTTTTTTTTCACCTTCTGGAAGATTTTATTTAATTTCTCAATTTTAAAATGCCTTTAAAATTACCATTCTGGATACAGATCTTATGCAAAACAATCTATACCACAGGACTTTTATATACATTACAGTATATTTTATTTACATGTTTCCTAACTTCTTGAATCATGGAATTTTACCATGAGATAGTATTTACAATGTTTACCATGAAGCATTCAAAGTGAGGCCAATTATTGAGAATGTTATATTATTTTTTTCTAGCTCTACACAATAATTCTTTTGATTGGTATGGCATTGAGTAAATAAGTTAATTTGGGTAGTGTTGTCATTTTTAATATATTGGCTTGGCCTACCCATGAGAAAATGATATTTTTACAGGGGTTTAATCTCCCTTTATTTGTGTGAAAAATATTTTATAATTCTATTGATATAGTTCCTGAGTTTGTTTTGGCAGGTAAACTCTCAAGTATTTTACACTGTTTGCAGTTATTTAAAATGGAATTTCTCTATCTCTTCCTGCTGGGTTTGTTGATAATATACAGAAAAACTGATGATTTATGTGGACTGAATTTATATCCTGCAACTTTGCTGAAGTTGTTGTTTAACTAATTTTTTTAGTTGATTCCCTGTTCTCTAAATATACCATGATATTATCTGCAGAAAGTGAGTTTTTCCCCTTCATTGCCTATTCTTAGTCCTTCAGTGTCTTTTTCTTTTCTTACTGATGTGGTTAGCATTTCTAATACAGCATTGAATAATAATGCTGATGATGTACATCACTTCTTTACTCTGATCTTATTGGAAAGCTTCTAATTTATATCCATTACAGATAATGCTTGCTCTTGGTTTCAGATATATACTACTTATGTTAAGAAAAGTGCCATTTATTCTTATACTCTCTAATGTTTTCCAGTGTCAAAAGTTTTTTCTGCATCAACTGATATAATCATATGATATTTGTTGTTTTTGTTATTGATATAGCCATTTTATGCTTATGGTTTTCCTATTATTGAACTAGTTCTGCAATCCTAGTATAAATCATACCTGCTCATTGTGTATGATTTTTGTAATATATTGCTATAATTTCCTTGCTAATATTTCAATTTAATTCACTCCAATAAAAATTTATTACATGCCTATCATGTGTTAGTCACTCTGCTAAGCAATGGGGACTCAAAAAAGAAAAAAGGCAAAAGACAGTCTCTGCTCTCAAGGAGCTTACAATCTAATGGGGGGAGACAACATGCCAACAGTCACATATAAAACAAGCTAGATACAGGAAATAATTATAAAAAGAGAAAGCACTGGAATTAATAAGGATTCAGGAAGGCTTCTTGTAGAAGGTTTGGATTTAGAAAGTTGGATTTAGACAGGGAGTTTAGTAGTCAGAGCAGAGAAGGGAGAGCATTGCCAGAGAAAATGCCCAGAACCAAAAGATGGAGTGTTTTGAATTGTGTGAATCGAGCGAATTGAAGAGAAGGTTAAGAAGACAGAAAAGGTAGGAGGGGGCTAGGAGAAGGCATATGAGTGATAGGAGACAAAAAGGAGGGGAGAATAGGGAGTTCATGGCAGATGCCTCATTTTTTTCCTGTAAAATATGAGACAAAGTTCTCAGCTGAGAGAGTAGTGGGAGGAAGAGATTTGAGGAGGGATTAAAAGGTTCAGAAGAACCACTGTAGAGAGCACTTAGGTATAATATTATTGCCTAGCAACAGTGAGGGCCAGTTGAGTCTGTGTAACATAAATATGTAGTGGACTCAATCAGAATAGTTATGTAGTGGACTCAATCAGAAGAGTTGAGTGTTTTTCTCCACCTTCATTCAGCAGCACATATGTAGACAGGAAGGCCACAAGTGATAGAAGTGATCCAAGGCTGAGGCTTTGCTGGGCATAATTGGCTATATGATAAGGAAAATAGGGATTCAAAAGAAGGAGATAGTGTAGAGTTGAATTGGTTTACCAAGGAGTCAAGATGGGGAGAAGAAAAGTGAGTGGCTAGTATAGGGGAGAGAGCCTGATAATTAAGGGGTTGAGAGATTGAATGTCAGAAGGAGGAGGAAGAAAAGCAGATGGAAAGGTGAAAAGATTGTGGTCAGATAAGGGGATTTCAGAATTCTTGAACAAGTGATATATTTGTGATTTAATGAAAGATTGAGAGTATGACAGTCTCTGTGTGTGTCTGAGGATGGAGGAGTAGCTGATGGAGGGAGAGTAGGTTGAGGAACTGAATGGTTAGGGTATTTGAGGGCATCTAAATGAATACTGTGTGCCAAGCACTGTACAAAAAGAAAGAAAATCCCTATTCTCAAGGAGGTTACATTCTAATGAGAGAAGAGCATACAAAAAAGAGCTAAAAAGTAGTAGGAAGAGGGGATAGGTTAAAGTTGGAAGAATGAACATACCAAATGTGGGAGCATGGTTTTAAATGAAGTCTGCAAAGACTTGGAGGGGAGCCAGAAGAGGAATGAAGGCTGGTTGATGTGGCAGATGAAAGATGAAATGATTGAGAAAACAAAAGTTCAAGCTTCTGAGAATATTAGTTTATTAAGCAGTGCATGCCAATTGCATAACAAATCAGGACCAGGCCTCAGCTTTGGCACTGGACCCAAAACAGGGTGGGGGGGGGAAGAGTTTTTTTATGTATTAAAAATAAGTAAGACCAATTAATTAAAAGAAAATGATTAACCAGGATATAAAATTAGGTAGTCTGATTGCCAATTGGAGAAAAGATCAGGGACTTTCCATGCTGAGAGAGGGAGAGTGAACAGGTGCAGTTCCCTAAAATCAGAAAAAGAGGTGTCCAAATCCCCACAAGTGTCTGTATTCAATCAAAAGAATATGGAAACAATAATTAATTACCCAGGACAGGGCCAATTTTTTTTTAAACAGGAAATCAATGTTTATTGATTGATTGAATAAATGAATATTTATTTTTTGTTTTTTATTTTAAAATTTTTATGTTTTTCAATTACATATAAAAACAATTTGTACAACTTGTTTTTAATTTTGAATTCCAAATTCTATTCCTCCTTCTCTCCCCTTCTTTCTCCCTGAGGCAGCAAGCAATTAGATATAGATTATACATGTGCAGTCATGGGAAACGTATTTCTGTATTAGCCATGACGTGAGATCATCATTGTAACAGCTTTTTTTTTTTAATTTGGCTGAAGCATATTAGATTCTGCTCCAGCCCCTAACCTTTACTCTGTGTGCATCTCTCAGCTTCAGGTGTATTTCTTGTAAACAATATATTTTCAGATTCTGGTTTATAATCCACTCTGCTATCCACTTACATTTTATGGATGAGTTCATTCCATTCAAATTCACAGTTATCATTATTAACTGTGCGTTTCCCTCCATCCTATTTTATGTTGTCTTTTTGTCTCTCTCCTTTTACTCTGTCTTTTCTAAAAAGTGTTTTTTAGCTTATGACCACCCCCTCCCCCCGTCTGCCCTCCTTTCTATCATCCCCTTCTTCTCTTATCCCCTTCTCCTCCTTCTTCCCTGTAGAGTCAGGTAGATTTCTATACCCAACTGAGTGTGCATGTTTCCCTCTTTGAGCTAGTTCTGGTGATAGTAAGGTTCAAGCATTACATGACACTACCCCTCCCCAATCTTCCCTTTCACTGTAAAAGCTCTTCCTTTTGTGCCTCTTTTGTGTGAGATAATTTTCCCCATTCTATCTCTCCCGTCCCCCTCCTCCTGGTATATTCCTCTTTCCAACTCCTTAATTTTTTTAAATCATCCCATCATAGTCAGCTCACACCCATACCTTCTATGTATTCTTTATGTATACTCATGCCCTAATAGTGATAAAGTTCTTAAGAGTTACAAGAATCATTTTCCCATATAGGAATGTCGAGTTTCACCTTATTGAAGCCCTTATGATTTCTCTTTTATGATTACCTTTTTAATGGCCCCTTTTGAGCCTTATATTTGAAAGTCACATTTTCTATTCAGCTCTGTTTTTTTTATTAGGAATGCTTGAAAGTTTTTTTTATTGTTTCTTGATGTCTCATGGAGTCATGAGCTTCAACTTGCCCAATTTTAATTTTTAAAGAATTGTTTTTTCAGTGAATTTTTGTGTCTCCTTTATCAAGCTGTTCACTCTCTTTTCATAATTTTCTTGCATTACTTTCGTTTCCCAATTTTTCTTTTTCCTCTCTTTATTTTGAAAACCTTTTTTGAGCTCTTCCAGGAATTCTTTTGTGGCCTGTGACCAATTCACATTTTTCTTTGAAACTTTGCATTTAGTTGTTTTGACTTCATTTTCTTCTTCTGAGTTTCTGTCTTCATCTTTCCTGTCACAATAGTAACTTTCTACTGTTAGATTCTTTTCTTCTTTTGCTCATTTTTTCTAGCCTTTTTCTTGATTTATAACTTTATGTTAAGGTTGTACTTTGCTCCCAGGGCTGAGGGGAGCACTGTCCCAAGCTTCGGGCCTTTCCTGCTGCTGTTTTCAGAGCTAGTTCTGGGCTATGTAGGTTTTTAGTTCTTCTATGGTGGCATGATCTAAGGAGAAGTGTGGTCACTGCTCTCTTGGCCTGTGCTCTTATCCATGTGTGATCCCAATCACTCTTTTCCACCCTGGAACTGTGACCAGGACTCTGCACCCCTGTGTCCATGATTGCTAATGAGCAAGTACTCCAATTTGCTCTAGCACTAGGCCACAGAACTGTGTATGAACAATGCAACATTGTCCTGCACCCAAAGCCATGAAAAGTTCCCCTGGTTTCTCTTTCTCACCAGTTGTTTGATTCCCTTATTATCTGTGGGTTGAGAACTCCCAGTGTAGTTCACTCAATTTCCACTATTCCTCCTTTTGATTTATGGGGAAGGGCTACTGTACTCCCTCCATAGATTTCTTATGTATAAGCCAAATCTATAAGGTTTTAATATATGCATAATCAGAATTGTGTTAGTCAGACTGTAGATCAACTACATAGAAAGCTCATAAAGGACTAACTTTGAGAGGGGAGATTTACATGTCACTAAGGTA